TACATGTTTATGCTTACATCTATTTATACCATTTCTACTACTGATGATAAATGGGGTTTGTTATTGGTTTAGTGATTAAATTTGTTATTGAAGGTTGTTTACAATGTTATCATATTCTTTTGTTACTTATGAGACAAACATGTTATAGTTTATCAGTAGATTGTTTACGTGTTTTCGTGTTATCATATTCTTTTGTTACTTATGAGACAAACATGTTTATTTGTACATTATAGTTTATGTATATATGTAATGTATGTGACCAGGCATGTTAGCTATGTATGTAGTGTATGTATTAACGTCGTTACCTCTCCCCGGTGTTAAAAATGAAATGTCCTCATTTCGAAGGGCTTAGGTTTTGACATCTTTGTAATTCGGTTAGGTAAGCTAATTCGAAGTTTCTTCGACGTTTGGTGCTTAATTGTAGTTGTCGATATGTATGTAATCTTATAATTAAGTATATAAGTAGAATTAGTATAATTATTATTATGGTTAAATATAAAGTAAATTTCCAAGGATTTTCTTCAATTGGAATCACTAATTTATACATTTATTGTATATTGGTAAATTTATAATCTGATTCGGAGTTTAAAATTTTCAATATATTAACTTTTTCGTTTTGATGGGCATGTATTACATTTTTTATTTCCTGTTTATGGTTAATATAAGTTTTATTATCAATAGTTGTATTAAAATTGAATTGGATTAAATGTGGACCGTTTACTTTGAGTCCGTTCCATATGTGTTCATAGTCTATAATAATGTTACCATTATCTAATATTTGTAAGGGAATGTTATTTTCTTGGATAATATTACAGTGAGCACTTTGTTTTAATAATAAAGGAATAGTACAATTATCCTTTGGTTCTTTTTTACAAATATGTGTGCCTACATAGTTTTTACATTTTGATAAGTTGTTGAATGTATTATTACATAAAGCTATTTTGTTGTTAAGTTGATATTTTCCATATTTAAAGGCTAATGGGGTTAGATTATACATTTTACATTTATTTCTTATTACAGGATATTTGTAGATTGTTATAATAGCATCATGAAAGGTACATATGTGGATATCAGAATATTCTAGTATATTTATTATTGGAATATCATATACTTCGTTTTTTGTTACTTCTTCTACATCTCTGATATTAAGTGTTCCAGAGAAGAAATTTCCTGTTTTTGCGAAGTTAATGGTATTTGTAATAGTTAATAGTTCACTGTATATTTCCGTAAGTATTGAATTATCAAAAATAGATTGTGGATCTAGGGTTGCTAAGATTTTTTCAAATCGAGAATTTATTGTCCTTTGTTGATTATTATTTTCGAGAAGTTGATTAAGTCCTGTTTTAATTTCAACTAGATCATCGTGATCTGGTATTCCTGTAACAAATTTTAATACTGAGCCTAAAAAATTAAGGGCGCGTTTGGCACGATACTCGGATGGTATTAACTGTGTCTTCAGAGTTTCTATTTTATCAATTATTATATTTTTTCCTTCAGTTTGAATTGAATCATATCTAGTTCTCACTATTTTTTCATATGGAGCTAATATTATAGATAGATTCGATACATGGTAAAGATAGGATGAAGTCTCATAAATATACACGGAATCTAGTTCAGTGAGTACGTATTTCTTACCAGTCAAATCGGTGATTTCATCGCATAACCCGCAGGTTATTATTATTAAATTTAAGAATCCTGTTTGTTGCATGGTATGCAATTTTTTCTTATGCTATCTTTGTGTATTATTTTCCCCCTAGTTGTTAGGATTGTGTCCCCACGATCTTCTTTCACCTTATGCTTATTATATTTTGTAGCGAGTTTGTTACGGCGATCGGTTCGGCTGTAAATTAGGTCACCTGGTTTGTAAGTTATGCTTTTCCTGTTCTTATTGTGATGTTGGAGTAGTTTTGCTTGTTTATCTTCAAGTGTGTCTTTGATATCAGGGTATTTATCACGATTAAAGAACACGTCTTCGGGCTTATATCCTGTGGAGGAGTGAATTGTCCTGTTGTATTGGCGAACTGCGTTGAATAATTCGACGGCGGGAGCTGTTTTATTTTCTGCAGCTAAGGTTTGACAGAGTTCGTACACTGTGTAATCGTTCAACTTGAGCGTTTGATGTTGAATGATGTACAGGCGTGACGGAGTGCGTTATTTGTAGCCGGTTGTACAAAAATTTCGCTATGTGTCCGTTAAATGTACTCTCGTTATCAGTCATGAGATATTTAGCATTTGGGTAAACTTGCGTGAGTACTTCTTCTATGTATTCGTGACAGTTTGTTTTTGTGTTTAGTTTTCGTAGGAAACAATATTTGGAGTATCTATCTATGGAGCTAAGATACTGCATGTTATTGATATGGAATATGTCCATCTGTATGTATTCTCCTACTCGTGTTGGTATTGGGGTTTTTCCTATAGGTTGTTTGTTTGGTTGTCTTTCATATTTGTGCTGTAAACATATTTCACAATCTACTGCTTCATTTCTGCACCTCTCTTTAATGTTGGGCCAGTAGTGGGTCAACAATATTTCTTGTGTGTTATTTTTGTAATTTCTATGTGCACGTTTATGTGTCTGTTTGACGATTTCACTTTGCTCATTTAAGGAAGTTACGTCAATTAGCTGATTTTGGGCTAGTACCAGGGTGCAATTTGGGAATGTGGAAGTTATTTCTTTTTTTAAGTGAAATAGTATTTCTTCGTCTATTTTTATCGCATTAGTGAGTTATGGTTTAATTACATTTTTTAATTTGGAGGGCAAATCTGGAGTATCTTTAAAAAATATTGTGTATCTAGATTGACCAGGAAATGTTGTTTGATTAAGGATTTCGTTTCTTTCATTATCTTGTAAAATAATTATTTGATTTTTAAAAGAGTTTAGTGGTTGTTTAACTTTTTTCATAATTTCATTTGGAGAGCTTTGTTGTGAATGGTCTGAACAATCTGTTGTGTTGTTGACTTGTTGTCGGGAAAGTGCGTCTGCAACAACGTTCTGGTGTCCAGGTTTATAAACTAGTTTGGCACCGTATTCTTCAATTAGATTTTTCCAACGTTTTAGCTTTGCATTTGGGTTTTTTTCGGAAATCGAAAAAATTAAGGATTGGTGATCTGTGTAAATTGTTAGGTTTGCTACACCGTACAAATAGTTTCTAAGTTTTTGTAAAGACCAAACGATTGCTAGTAACTCTTTCTCATTTGTACTATAGTTTTGCTCTGTTTCATTTAGTGTGCGTGAGATGAATGCGATTGGGTGGCGATTTTGAGATAAGACTGCTCCGATGGCAAAATTGCTAGCATCAGTTGTTAAGCTAAATGGTTTAGAGAAATCTGGTTGGAAAAGTTCAACTTGTTCTTGTAAAGCGTTTTTTATTTTTTCCATGGCTTCTACTGCTGCTGCGTCTAAGCGTATTGATACTTTGGCACTTTGATTTTTAGTTACAATTCCTAATTCTCCTTTCAAATGAATTGTTAAGGGTTTCGTGATTTTAGCAAAATCTTTTATAAACTTCCAATAGTAACTAGCAAGTCCTAAGAAAGATCTCAATTCTTTTAAATTTTTTGGTTGTGGGTAGTTCTTTATAGTTTCAACTTTTTTTTGGATCTACGGTAATTCTATTGTGTTTTATAATATGTCCTAGGTATTCTACTGAGTCTTGGAAAAAATGTGACTTTTCGTCAGAAATTCTCATGTTAGCATTGCGAAGTGCATTAATTATAATCCGTATGTGTTCCATATGTTCTTCTGCTGTAGATGAATAAATTAACACATCATCAATATAAACATACGCAAACTTTCCAATATATTATCTTAATATGTCATCAACGCATCGTTGAAAGATTGAGGGTGCATTCTTTAATCCGAATGGCATTCTGATAAATTCATACTTCGCGCCGTTGACAGAGAATGCTGTCTTTTCTCGATCAGATTCTTTAATTAGTATCTGATGAAACCCTGATTCTAAATCTAGTGTGGAAAAAATCTTTGCTTTTCCTAGGTTTTGTATTGTCATATTAACATCTGGAATTAGATATCTGTCAGTAATCGTATGAGAATTAATCTTTTGAAAGTCAACAACCATTCTTCGCTTGGGCTTGCCTTGGTCATCGGTGCCCTTTTTTGGAACAGTCCATATAGGTGAGTTATATGGGCTCTTGCTTGGCTGTATTATACCGTTATTTAAAAGTTTCTCAATTTCTTTCCTGTCAAAGTCGTGATCAGACATGGGATATGGATATTTTTTTGTCCATATGGGATTAAGTTCATCGACTTGATCTTTAAATTTTTTATTGTTAATAGTATAATTAATCTTGGTTTCTACTTTTAGGGCCTTTTTTCTTTGATATTTTAAACTATAATCAAATAAACTGATTTCCGCCTTTATTTGGCGTAGTCCCTGTTCTCCGAGTATCATGTCAAAGTCGTTTAATTCTTTAATTTCATAGAAAGTTAAATGATGTCCGTACATCGTTATTATTTTTTTAGAATTCATAATTGAGTGACCATGTAAGGTTTTGGTTTTAAATGGTTTTATTTTTATCGATTTTCCTATATTGCAATTTATATTTATGTAATTGTTAGTGGAGCCAGTGTCAACTAATAAGGTAACGGGCGTGCCGGTTAGGCCGCATTTTGTTTGTAAGCAAGGCAGCCCGTTTATTCGCCTAAAAAAGTACTGCCTGCTTCGAATTGTTCTTCGTAATTTGAAAAATCTACTGACTCTAGATCTTCTCTATTTACTTGATTTATTCTTTGTGACTTATTTTGTGGAGTAGTTACGTTATTATGACTGAATGTCCTATCTCTCTTATATATATTGTTAGGTATATTATTATTGTGACTTACGGCATTATTGCGTCTACTTGTTGGGACATATTGTCTAGAGTGGTCCACGTCCATTGGAATAGGTGCAGGTTGTCTTTGTTGATTGAAGAAGCTTCTTTGTTGATGGTCTCCTCGTTGCTGGTAGTCGTTTCTTTGAATTCTGATGTTTGGCTTATAGTACCTCTCTTCACGATGTGGTTGTGAGTAGGTGCTCCGATTTTGCCTATGATGCTGGAATCTGGGTTGTACGTTCTGTGTTTCGAATTCTTCATTTACGTTATCGTGTGATATGGTACTGGCTGTCGCGTATGCTGATTCCAAATTTGTTGGATTATGGCTATACAGTGTACCGCTGGTATATTTTGAATTTAGGCCAAGGATGAACGTTCTTACTGCCTCTTGGTTGGCGTAAGTTTTCATACCTTCGTTGTTGTCATCACTGGACATTTCGATTTTGGCTAAGGCTAAATTAAGTGCCTTAGATACTTCACCGTGGAATTCTGCGAGAGTTTTTCTTCCTTGTGAGATTTTTTTCATTTGGTCCAGGAGGACATATAGTGGGCGTTGGTCAGCATAAGTATAGTCAAGTCGGTTGATGATTGAATAAAAATTTAATTTGGTGTCGTGATTTGTTAATATATTCGCAGCTGGTCCTGTAATCTTTGTTCGTATGATTCCCAGGGCGCTGTAATATTTTGGATGGTATTGGAAGTTCTTTATCGCTTCCATGAAGGTCCAAACTTGTGATCTCCATGATCGGTATTGCTCTTTATCTCCATCGAATTTTGGTAGAGATTTGAACAATTCAAGGTCTATATCCCTTGGGTCGCTGATGTTAAGTTTGACTTCGTCGTGTAGTACCACTTCGTGTGGAGCGTTTTGTTGCTCTAGCCGAGCTACTCTCTCTGTGAAGTCCGCCTGTTGTTGTTGGATCTGATTTACCAATGCAGCCATGTTTGCGTGTAGTTGAGCTAGTTGTTCCTCCATTTTTATTGGGTTTTCTAGTTTCTGTTGTCGTCGTAAGTTTTTGTTTTTTTTATTGTTTTTAATTTACGTAAGGTATCCAGTTTCACCTTTGTGTTTCACTTTTTTGATTCACTTTTCGATTCACTTGTTTTGAATCCTGTGTTGTTTGTGTTTATATTAATTATTTAAGCACTTTTTTCAAATATGTAGTGCTGGAAGTCTTACTTCCCGTGGGATTTTATATTTTTCCTTATCCTTTGTAACATTACAGGATTAGAAAATGGCTTTTAAGACCGGTTGAGCCACCAGTTTAATACTCAAGTCAGGAAAGTTATAAAAAAAATAGTTTTATATTTTTTTGAGCAAGAGCTCTTTATTTGAATTCGTATAATCTCGAACTCCTTACATGTTTATGCTTACATCTATTTATACCATTTCTACTACTGATGATAAATGGTGTCTGTTATTGGTTTAGTGATTAAATTTGTTATTGAAGGTTGTTTACAATGTTATCATATTCTTTTGTTACTTATGAGACAAACATGTTATAGTATATCAGTAGGTTGTTTACGTGTTTTCGTGTTATCATATTCTTTTGTTACTTATGAGACAAACATGTTTATTTGTACATTATAGTTTATGTATATATGTAATGTATGTGACCAGGCATGTTAGCTATGTATGTAGTGTATGTATAACCGTCGTTAACTCGCGCACTGCCGTTCGCTGTGATGGGGAAAAAAACACTTTTAGTAGAAATGGAATAGACTTCAGTAAAATCAATATTTTTTGATCAGAAAACTTTGGTTCTCTTCAGGAGACTTTCAATAATAATACGCAATTGTTGGTTTAACTATTTTTTAGTACTAACGATTTTTTATTGGTCCCTTCATTGCATTTTTCGGGGGTTTTCTGGGTTCTTGGTGAACCTATAATTTATAGTTACTATGAAAAAATGGCTAAATAAACAATTGGGAATTATTACTGAGAATCTTCTGCAGAGAAACAAAGCTTTCCGATTGAAAAACATTGATTTTTAAAAATTCTATATTATTTCTGCGAAAATGCGTTTTTTTCCATATAAAATACATGGGAAGCTTTGAGCCCTTTGAGCGACCTCTAAATATATTTTGACTTTAAAATAAAAAAGGCATACAATTTTTTCGGTATAAACAATCCTATAAAACTGTATACCTAAAAAAAAATCTAACAGTTCTGAGAAAGAAATTTGAAATTTGGGTGAAAATTTGTTAATTTTTTTTGTAGTTTTCTACAAAGTTTTAAACTTGGGTTTATATGGGCTTCTTAAAAATTAAAAAATAAAGATAAGTGGCAAACAATGTCTCTTTGAAATGACGTGCTATAGTTAGATATGACCGATACCGTTTATTCCGATTCGTGCTGATTGTTTCTGACTATAAATTAAAGAAAATAAACATATGGCCCAAATCGCAGACTGTTACAATTTTTTTTACATTTTGGCTCACAGTGCTTTTCAAATACCGCGGAAAATCGCTAAAATACAACTTTCATAGAGTTTTTCTCCTTGCATCTGAAAGCATAAGTATGTGGATAAATAATATTTAATATCTACCTAAAATATATAGTATTTCCTGTTGTTTAGGAGTTATGAACATTTCAACAGAGGACTCTTACATTACAATTTTTGGAAGTACTTTAAAGGCTGCTTTATATTATCGAAAAAGTCTGCCCTCCTTATATAATGTTTTCCAAAGTTGGTACACAGTTTCTTAGCTAAGTTCTTTATTGAACAAATAAAATTAATTTTGTGGATAATATTTGCGAAAAATAGTTGGACTGTTATGTTACAGAAAAAAACTGTTACGTTACCTGTGTAATATAGGTGTAGATTATAATTAGGTTCTTAAATGGCTTGTAGTCTGTTTTATGCAAATTCAGTAGACTTGCGATTTGACATATAATCAAAAGAAATTAAGAACATGATAATTATGAATACAGATTTGAAAGTTTCCGTTGCTGCGCAGCTGTCGAACTCGAGCTCGAGCTTACAACTGCGACAAGATATTGGGGTTTAGTACACGAAAAACGGCTTTAATTTCCACTTTTGTTTGCTCTATACGATTTAGTACTATTCTTACCCTTCAAAATGCACCTTCGAGAGGTGCTTTACGATTTTTCCTTCAGAAACTATGGCCATTGGATAATGACGTAATGAGCTAGAAAGCATATGCTTGGTTTGGCGATGTTAGATTCGAGGACACGGCCGTAACTCTTGAAGGTTTAAATATGCTATCAGAGCTGCAAAACGCTCAGCCTGCGAAACTTTTTGTCAAACGATATAAAGCAACTCGGAGGCAAACCGATTACGCAAGATCCTTTCGAAGAACCAAAGCGTGCATAGCCACTTGCGTAAAGGGAATGATGAGTGGACGAGTAGCAGATCCGAAACGCTTGAGCTTCTCATGCAGACGCACTTTCCTGATTGTTCCAACAACAGAGGATCGAACAATTCACAGATCACTGCCTCAGATGGGGAAACTACATGATGGGAACATGAAGGAAGCTATTTGAAACTTCTCACTCTGGAAGTCACCTGGTCTCGATAGTATCCTACCCATCGATCTTAAGGAAACAATGGTTATTCGAAAACTAAAAGCTAAAAGCGGTCATCAGCCTTGCCTATGTACTACAAAGATAGATGCAAGTAAAAGTTGTATTTATCCCCAAAGCGGGTAAATCTTCGCACATCGAACCCAATGAGTTCAGACCAATAAGCCTCTCGTTCTTCCTACTGAAGTCACTAAAGCGCATATTGCACGCACAAATTAGGGAAATAGTTGGTCCAAAGCCCTCTTCTTCCCAATATGAATACACCAAAGGAAAGGGGTGGATACAGCTCTACACAGCCTTGTCTTTGACATTGAAAACCATTTGCATTACAAAGAATATGCTCTATCTGTCTGCTTGGACATTGAAGGTGATTTCAATAATATCATTCCGGATGCAGTCATCTCACCGCTCCAGGAACTTGGTCTTTGCAACACGCTGATAGCGTTTGTCAACAATCTCCTCCTCAGAGGTCAGGTCATAAACTTAGAACTATGAGACGCCTCCGTGAAAAAGTACGCCGTAAGGGGAACCCCCAGGGAGGTGTACTCTCACATTTACTATGGAACATTGCCGTTGACAATTTGTTGAAAGAAATAACAACCCACTATCCAAAACATAAGAAAAAGGCAACAATCGTCAATGCAAGACATTGGCGATTCGCCGATTTATTGCCGTAGTGAGAAATCGGCAACATTATGTCTTTTATGACATTTTAGGAACATGTTTTCAAAACTTCCCAAACTGATGAACTTCGCTTCAGCAGGGTTCTTCAAACACCTTTAATTTATGCCCAAGACAGGGTTAAAAAAATAAGAAGCCCCATAGCGACGAAAATAGTTAATTTTTTTTACCAATTATAAGTTTGTGTTTAAAAACAAATTAAATATTAAAAAACAATACAATTGTTGCAAGAAATTATTATTCAAATATCACGTTTTAGAGCGACTGGTAATAAGAAATTGATACGATGGCGATATTGCCGGCAATAAATTTGTTGCTGAGGGCGACAAGTTTTCTTATTTCGGGCAGCAAAAATTGTCTGGTGGGAAGAAACGGCGGCAGAGTGGTAGCGTACGCCGATGATGTTGACATTACGGCTTCAGGAAATGGACGACATTGAACGACTGGCTACTCTAGTGATAACAGAAGTCATGAAGACAACAGCAACCAAAGCGCTCAACACGCTAGTAGCTTTTCTCCCGACGGATCTATACGCAAAAAAGATGGCATGTAGTACCGACATTAGGCTCAACGCGGCCACTGTAAAATTCTGAACGATTACCTTTCACCCACCCGCACTTCCAAGGCCATGTCAATGGACACAGTCAGTAAAAGCGGACCCGTTCTTGTTTACACGGAGGGATCGAAGCTCGAAAAAAGAGTTGGTGGTAAGGTCTATTCGGAACAGTTAGGGATATCGTTCAGCTTCCGCCTCCCTGATTACTGCAGTGTTTTTATACAAACTATTGAAGTGTTATGGCCGTTAATTTATCTATTAACGATTTAACTATACTTCAAAATAGATAAGTTTACAGCCCGAAATATGCTTAATGTGTTAAAAGGCCTATGGATGATACCATCATGCTGGCGCCTTCAAGTGTTGGCACCAGCCGATTGACCGTGTATGTTCTTGTGGTGTGATGCCGGTACAATCGACATCGAAAACGATTTGAAAATTTTATGATTGTACCAGCATGCTGGTGCCACGAATGGTGAAGTTAGCTCTTTTTTAAGTATTTTACTGAAAATTTCTTGCATTACATGTATGGCGACCATATTTACCACGGTAAAATAAAGGACATTTTCTTTACACAATTTTGGAATGCATACATACAACTGGTATGATCCAAAAACCTTATCCATATCGTAATTTAAATCAAATATTTAACAGTTAATTATATTATTTAATTGTACAAGTTCACTTCTTGAAAGGGCTGTAACCGGATTTTAACCGATTCCGAAAAATGAAACCAAACCCTCATCAAGGCCTTCGTCACCCTTTGCTGCCAAAATGCGTTTATCATAATTCGTACTATACGACGAAGCCAGCGGGGTTTTATTGTTATTTTTAAGTGGAACTGGAAACTCTCTCAGCGTGCAACATGATCCAGGACACAACTCCCCAGTGTTTTTGAGAACATTGAATTTTACTCAGTGTTTTAATTTTTCTAGGAAAATTTATAAATATTAGTTATTTTTTTCACTAATGTAAATTTCCCCTATCAGTATTAGCAGTGAGGGTTTTCATTATATTTTATAAAGGACATTTTTATTTTCTCATATTCTCTGTTTAAAAATTGACCTCTGAGAAATCCAGAGCTCATTTAAAGTATGAACGAAAAATTTATAGAAGTTGCCAATGCAATATGGCGAATGGAACCGATCTGTCGGATTGCCAAAAAACTCTGGCCTGCCAAGAACGCCCCACG